AAGGGATAAAGGTGTCGGCGGCGAGCGATCCGAAAGATTTGTCGCTCGTAAAAAACGCGTTCCTCGAGCCCGACAACGACGGATGTCGCATCGACTATCGGGCACACCCACGATCCTCCGTTTCTCTCTCGCGGCGCGGCCGATTCGAAGAGCGATCCGGAGCCGTGCCGCGCCGTTCCGCGCCGTTCCGCGCCGTGCTCGGTTTCCGCGAGTGCAACGCTTGTCATACGACGACGATAATAACACGGCGGTCACTATTTGTAACACAAAGCCCGATTATCTAAGAATAGAGGGACGAATAAGCCCGCGATCCCCGAAGCCGACGCTTCGCGCTTGCTCGCAATTTCGCCGAACGTCGACGGAAAGTTCGACAAACTTGCGCGCCGGACGCGATGGAACGAGATGGGACGCGTTCCAGGAAATTTCGGCCGACAACGAGAACGATCGCGAGGTCGAGCCGCGATCGCGTTCGAGGGTGGACCTCGGTAAGGCGCGCTCGAAACGATTCGAACGTTTTTCGCGGAACGAAGCAACGAGTTTGCGCGTCTTTCGATCGCTTCGACCGCCGCGTCGCCCGTAGAGCACCCGCGAGCGACGGAAAATCGTTTATATTTTTAAGATAAATTCTGCGTTGCCGACTTATAATAGAGAAACGAGACGATTTTTCGCGCGCTCTCCTCGCAACGGAAAAAATGAGAGAAGAGAAAAGAAAAGATCGTTCGATCGATTTATCTCGATAAGGAATAAATCGAGCGATCGTTCCGGAATATATCGGGACCGAAGTATTCGTTGCTCGCGTCGAGAGTCGAACGGATAAAGCGCTCTTTCCTCCGCCTGTTTCGTTGGGAAATAAACGAGCGATCGCTAACGCGTCGAACGAAACGCGCGAAGAGAAGAACGTATCGGCCGATTTCGCGTCGTCGATCGATCGCGAATCGTCGAACGCGACGCGACCGAACTTCTACGATTTCCTGAAAACATTTGAAAAACTTGGTTCTCGCGGCTCGCGTCTCTTCTTAATCCCGCGAACCGAGCAAACGCTGCTCCGTCGACGAGCAGAGCGCGTTCGTCGATTTCGTCGAGTGCCGCGACGCGAGCAAGTTCCCTCGAAATAAACAAATTCTCGACGAGATCGCGACGCTTCGTCGATCCTAAGCTCGTCGACGGTAATTCTCGATCGCGGCGCCGTGCCGCGTTAACGGGGTCTCTCTCTCTCTAGCGACTCGGCGGCGAGTATCGCCGGAAGAATATAACGAAACGCTCCCGAGAATAGGTCGAACCGACGAACGGACGAACGGTTTTCGGGAATAGAGGCTTCTTGTTCCGTTCGAAACGTTCTATGAATCGCCGCCGAGAGAAGTGTTTGGCTCCGCGCGAAGAGGTCTTCTCCGGTGAACGGATCCAAGATCCGCGAGATCTACTAGGCCGCGCGAGCCGGAGTGGAAGAAAAATCGAGCGAATCCGCTGGCCGTGTAAAATCCCGCTTCTAAATATTCCTCGCGCGTCAGTCAACGAACTCCTTTCGCGATGCACATCGAGAAATTCGCCGTCGCTTTCTCTCTTCCTCCATCCGCCAGCCTCTCTCTCTTTCCACTCTGTCTCACCCCCTCTCTCTCTTTTTCTCTCTTTCTCTCTCTCTCTCTCTCTCTCTCGCTCTAGGTTTCTCTAAATTCGGTTGCTCGACGAAACACCGCGTTCACGTCGGAAGCCGCGAAGACTCGCGTAGCGCACGCAACGCACGCAACGCAACGCAACGCGAGATAGCATAACGTAACATAACATAACACGATGTAACGAAACGCGAGACAACGGATCTCGGATTTTGTTCGCGGGAAACGATTGACAAGAGCGGAAACGTTTCGCGCTCGGCCGAGCATCGAGCCGCGGAGTCGAAGAGGAATTCGCGGATCGATTCGCGGCCGATCCGAAGATCCGAGAGAAAAATTCCCGGAGAACGTCCACGCTGGTCGCTCGCGCGCGCGCTGCTTCCACACGCCACGCAGAAAAGCTCGCCGGACACAAGACACGAGACACGAGACACACGACACGAGAGAGGAGACGACGACACGGCACGACTCGACGCGACTCGGCACGACTGTTCTCGTGTTTGCTAGCCAGGGCATAGCACCTCCCGTAGGAGCCGCGAGCGAGGAGTCAACCCGCTCCAGGAATAGAAACACCAAACCCGAAATGTTCGAGCGTAGAAGCGCAACATTAAAACGCACCGCGTCGCGAGAGCTCCGCTCGCTCGCTCGCTCGCTCCGAAACGACCCGCCAAAACTCGGCGCACGCTTACCGATTTGCCCCAAAACGGACACCGAGATCCGACGAGAGCGACGCTCTTTTCGAAAAACGGTTCGCGGATTTAACGAACGTCGATTCGTAACCGGCGCTCGTCCATGGAATCGTCCGCGTCCATCGCGCGTCGTCCGCCCCTGGAAGAGTTTTCTATCTTACGATCGGCGGAGCAGAGCGCGCGATTAATTGTATCTTTCCGCAACCGAGATTACGATTCGACGCGACGACTGCGAACGCTGAAACGCGCGTTGTCGCGATGCGATCTATTCGTCCCGCGATCGCTGCAGTTATTCTATTCGTCGGTTCCACGATGAAGGGCTCGATTCGATCGAGCAGATGCAACTACCGTCTCGACGTCTTTCCGAAACACCGAAGGAACACGAAAGTTTCCATTTATAGCACGCGACACGCGCGTCCGTGTCGTCGCGGCGCGTACAGTGTTTACATCGATGGAACCCTACCCGCGGTGTGCACAGAAGCACGAACATCTTCTCGAGTCACGGTTGCTTGTTCTTAAAGGGGTTCGAAGGTCGACGTATTACGAACGATCGACCTCGTTTTTTCGTAATCCACGATCCACGGCGTCGCGCCGATCGAAATACGCGATCCCATTACGAGGAAGAACAATGGCCCCGCGTCGAATTTTCGAAAATACAGCTTTCGAAGAAGAACCTCTTCTATCGGAACTATCCTCCTTCCGAACGAAAGAGAAACATTTTCTTCTTCGGCGTTCGTTCGTTCTTTCTCGGTCGACGATCCGTCCGTCCGTCCCGACGGCATAGACGAGAATTCACGGTAAATCGAGCATCTTTTTAAGACGAACGTTGCGAGCGAGCAGCCAAATTCGGTAATCCGCCGGATACTTTGTAACAATTTTCCGCGTAGCCGAGAAAGCTGAAAATAAATAGGCTCGCGTGGCCTGCCACGAAATCGGCTCGCGGCCGGAGCCGAGAAAAACGCGAGGTCGCGTCGCGCCGAAGCCGAAGGGAGCGATTGAAAATCGGAAAGAGGGCGAAGCCGAGGCTCGCGTCGAGCCGCGGCCCTGGTATTTTAATATTTCCACGGGTGCGGCATATTTCCCGAGAAAATAATCTGGCCGCTTTATAAAACAGAATTCGATGCCCTAGAATCGCGCTCCGCTTCCGGTTCGAAGTCTAAGTAAGTCTTGCGAGAATCGTCGTGCGCGAACGTCGAAATTTTCGTCGAGCGACGATCCCGCGATGTCGCGTCGGTCTTTCCGTCGTCGCGATCTTCGAACGCGAAAGCAAAGGTCTCGATACGATAAATTCGAACGATTTTTCTCGCGGAAGAATTTATTGGACGCGAAAAAGCGCCGATCGACGCGAGGGCGAAGCACAAATCGTGGCGCGAGGCACCTCGACGAAAGGATCGACGCACCTTCCAGCAAGATTGTATGTTTTCGTTCGCCGATCGATGGATCTTCGCAAGGTGTTTAAAAACGAACGAATCGAGGCATCGAGAGTCTCCCGTAAAAACGAACGACGGCGCTTCGAGAGTCGACGCCGCGATCGCGCGTTCGGTCGCGCGGCCGGAACGAAAACCATAGAGAAATCTCTAAGCGCCTCCGATTCGGCGTCGGAACGTTCTTACGGTTAATTTGGACGAGGACCACGTGGCCGAATGATCTACGAGAAAATGTCTAGTGGCACCGACGCGGGCAGCTGTCCCGCGCGTACCAAATGCTCGCGTTGGAACGGCGCGGCGCAGGGTGAAATCTCGCGAGCCGTGCTCTCTCGAATAAATGGCTCGCGATTTCCTCGCGACGCGACGATACAACAAATACCGAGGTTCGAGCTCGGAAAGCGCGGTTGCACGAACCCCGAGTTTGTTTTCGAACCAAGTATATCGAGATCGATTGCGAGTACTTCGATGCGAAGCGAAAACGCGTGCGAAGCGACGCGCGCGAATAAACTTGCAGCGAATCGGCCGTTGAAACGTTTCCGAGGAACTCGAGCCGTTCGAAAATCTGTTCGATCGCCGCGTTACGAACGTTCAACGGATACCGTGCAGGAAGAAGCGCCGAAGGGTGTAGAATTATCGATGATCGCCGTATTACGTTCGCGTTATCGATTCGTAAGAATCTTTGTTCTCGTTGCAACGGATAAATTAACTTTGCCCAGCATCCGAGTCTAAAAATCTCGCTGCGCCGTTCGGAAGTTCGCGGAAAAGGCGGCCATATATATATATAAGAAATGGGCCGCGATAATATTATCTCGGTGAAAATTGCGTCGGCCTTGCGACAAATGCAGCCGCGAGCGCGAAAGCGCGTTCAAAGGCCGCGCGCGTACAGTGAAAAAGAAAATAATCGATTTAGCCTCGTACTCGGCCAAAACGGTCGGAAACACCTACGCGTCGATCGGCTCACTTCCCGTTTCTCCGACTCCTTAAACACAAATCAATCATATCCGCACCGCCGAGTTCTATTTGTGTGGTTTCCTCGGGAACACGTGTTTCATTGGTAAAACGCGTCGAACCCGGCGCGTAGCCGCGACCGCCGCGCCTTCCACCGAGACGGCACCGATACCATAGAGAAAGGAGTCGCCTCGACGCTCGGCAAACTTCTAAGCAGATTCTGTCGCTTTTCTTCCTAATCGGGCTTACGACTATTCCGACGGTTGCGCGCGAAAGCTTCGATCGGTATCCAATTTTCGTTCGAAATTCCAGAAGAGAATGGCAAAATTTCAAGAATTCCTTTCTACAGATTCTACGTCCGCGTCGCGATCGAAATCTGCACTCGCTTGCAACGCCAAGACGAAGACGACCCACTGGTAGTACTCGAGGCTCCTGGTGGTCTCCCGCGGAACGGCGGGATCGTTTTCTCGACGATCGAACCGATCGGATCGTCGATTTCCAAAGGACGGCGCGACACCGGGTGCTGCAACGTTGGCTCCGACGATCCCCAACGTCGCTCCGGTCACGAAATAAGCGCTGCGTATCCAACGGTAAGCGTTGAAAGCCTCGACGGGGATATCTCTGTGCGAACAGAAGGATCCAGGAGAGCGAACGTTCGCGGAAGAGACGCTTCGTTTCGTTTCGTTTCAATCGTTTCATCGAATCGATCGAAACACTTTGCGAACGAGAATTTTGCTCGCGTTCGAGGTAAATATTTTGACAACGACGTCCGAATCGTCGGATCGAACGAATCGTCGGATCGAACGAATCGTCGAATCTACAGATTAATTTTTCTTCGAGGCTAAAAAGCTTCTTTTTCAACGCCGACGAATTCCTATCGGAAGATCGATCGAGAAGAATTTATTTACTCTTCCCGTTCGCAAAGAGTTGCGTCGCCTTTAAGAATACCTCGTGTGGACGCATTCTATCGGATTTCCCACGATCTGCTCGCTGCTGATAATTATGGAAAACGTTAATATGAAGACCGACGTCGCCGCCGCGTGCAGCCTGAAGGCGATGCCGTCGTCTTTCGCCCCGGACACCCGAGAGACCGCGATCGCTTCCGTTCATTTCCGTTCGCCGACGCGCCGCGTTCCCGCCGCTCGTTTCCGACGAACCGGGCTCGATCCTCGTCGATCGTTCGTCGAAACATCGGCAACCGTCGTTCGACGGCTCTCGGAAAGAAATCGCGTAGAAAACGGTGCGAGCGGTCGATCGAATTCGCCCGTTGCCGCGCGAAACCAGGAAAGTACGCTCGAACGTCGAACGTCGACGACCAACGAGGATCCGGAGCCGAACGTTCTCCAGCGGGTCGATCGGTCGAGGAACGCTCGCGCGTCGCGGACGATAAAGCCCCGCGACGATATCGATCGCGTCTTCTTCTTGCCCCGAACAGTCCCATCGAGCGACGGGCCCGAAGAATCGCCGTTCGCGCGATACCCTGCGGCCGATTCGACGGCCGACGAGTACTTCGCGCCGCTCGAGCGATCAAGATCGCGCGGCCGAGCACCGATTTCCTTCGGGACTCTTCGTCTCCGATCTTGGCTGACACCGATTCGTACCGCGACGCGATTCGAGGCGACCGAAAAAGAAGAAGAGACGAAGGATGCTTTTCTGTTCGATCGTTGACGCTTCCGGCACAAGTTCTGAACGAGCACTGACGGAAAACGCGTCCGCGAGTCGCCGGGCCAAACGGTTTTACCGGTTGCCGCGACTCTTATTTTGCCCCGATCTCTTCCAGGTCCGTCCAATTTTATTTTTGTAGTTTTTACCGTTGTCTCTCCTCCCCCAGCCTTTCCTCCCTCTTCCCTCTTCGTCCGCTTCGAACAGTCTCTCGCTGCCGCTAGAAACCCCTCTTCTTCTTCGTCGTCGTCGCGAATACATAAAATTCACGGTTATATTATTATCATTATTATTATTATTATTATTACGAGTGCAGAGATCGTTCCCGAAAAGATCCCTGGAAAGTTCTATTCTTGAGAATTAAATGTTTCGCGAAGAATCTTGACACGTTCGCTGGCCTCTCCCGCCCACGCTCTCTCAAAAGCGACCGCGTCATCGAGATCGTGACCAGGGGAAATTTCAGGGAGGTTTGTCATCGAAATAAATGTGTCGTCCGATCGCTACATTCGGTTTTCTTACCCTGGCGATAACGCCTCGTAGTTGTTCTCGCGTGGTTGTCCGCGAAGAAATAAATCGGCGAACCCGTGTTCGGACGTCGCCATCGATTCTGGATGACCTACAGGCACCTCCAGAAAATTCTCGGATCCTACCAAAAAGCTTTATTTGTACATGCGTCGTTGTTCGAACGTGTACGATTTTTTTGGACTTTTCTATTCGATTCGATATAATAATATTCGTCGCTCATCCGTGGTAACCGATATCGACTGCGAAACATCGATAGCATTTTGCCGAAGTCGTTCTTTTATTGCGTTTTTACTTTACACTATTCGATATGGTACAAACGCGTAATATCCATAATCTAGTAACAGTAAAAATAGTCGAGAACTTCGTTCAACATCTAAAGAAGACCGAAAGAGCTTCGTCGCTGTATCACCTTTGGAATTTCGCAAACGAACGAACCGTTCGTTTCGCCTAAACGCGTAACGAGTAACCTATCTTATCTTAATTTTCATTAGGCACGTTTAGCTTTTCAAATCGGTTCGATGCGTTCCGATTCTTCGAATACCGCTACGATAATGCTAAAGGATAAGCGTAACGTCGGAGTACGCGTTATCGTTGTACGCTATCAACGAAAGAACCTCTATCAACTTCGAAAGCGTCGCGTGGCAGTCGAGTCGGCGCTCGCGTGGCAGGATCGCGACCGAAACGGGAAGCCGATCGGCGAGCGTCGACTGCTTCGTAAAGGCTTCCTCGTTTCGCTACTAAATAAATGGTCGGAAAAATAACCGAGTTAAAGTAGGTACATCGAGAATATAGTATAGCGACGTTCGCGTGCTTCGTCGCGAATAGATTGGCAGCGAAGTATAAACGGAGGCAGAGCGTCGATCTCCACGGTTCGACTCTTTGATCGTTCGGAGTTCGGAGAAAAGATACATCGCCGCCTCGATACGGACTCGACAAAACTCGTTCGACGGATTTCTACGTGCTCGACGCGTTAAACGGTAAAGGAAGTTTATCGAACTAACGAGAAGACGCGGAAACTGGTGCCTCTTCTCGCGGCGCAGAGAATGGAACGGCGTTTATTTCTACGAGAGAAAACGCGTTTCCAATTTCTCGCAGAAAGAACAACGAGACATTTCTCTGTATCGTTTGAAACTTAACTTATTTGATCCGAATTTCGCAGATTCCGGCTAACGAAAATATAATTTTTTCTAGATTTTGAAGGGGACCCGCGGTTTGGACCAACGCGCCATTGAGATTTCTTTGCCGAGGATGAAGCGGAGAGAACGTTGGCAACCGACGATCCGCTCGGCATTCTAGACGCTCGCTATCGAGTCTACCCGACGTGGAAGACGCGTACGACGAAGAAAAACTGTTGCAACAGAGATGGTACTCTCGCCAACCTTGCTGTCAGTGGCTACGGCCAATGTCTCGCGCGCCAATTGCAAGTTTTAACGACACTCCGGTAGAAAGTATCGCAGTTTTCATAGAAATATTTTTTCTAACATCGATCGGATATACAAAAGTACGAATATTTCTATGAGAACCGTTTCCTACGAACGTTTCGTTAACGTTCGTCTTTTCATCGGTAATCGATGGTAGGTCGTACACCGTGAACGATCATCGATAATTATTCTCGGACGAATCCGATAGACCCGATAAGAGCTCGTTGGAAGCGAATCGACGGTCACAAGCGATCGGTACTCGGAACTAATTGCACCGACGACAAGGTTCGGATCGATAAAATTAAGCGCGCAACTTGGATCGACGTAAAATAAATATTCGATTCCTTTTCTTGCGAATAAATGTAATATTATCGAATCAATTTTATATACAACAATACAAAATGAATAACAATTGGTTTTTTACACGTTAACGCGTTCAGGATGATATGGTTGGAACTCGAACCGAGCATTCGGACAGATAAAACTAAGAATATTCGGCAGTTGCTTTATCGTCTTCGAATATCCGAAGGTTGGATTTGTAAAAATGACGCCTAAACTGCGGACATGAAATGAAATGAAATGAAATGAAAACAAAACGTATTCTTTCCGTGGTAATAAACGTTGATAAATCGAAAGAAAATATAACAAAAACAACTCGTGAATTCTTCCGGTCGGAAATGTTTATCCCAATGCACAAAATCTGCGGTCCAGCGAAGCGTATTTGGTATCGTCCATCCTGAATGTGCTAATAAGAGATACGCGTTGCGGTTAATTTTATCTACATCATTATCCTAAATAGATGATACCGAATCTATAACGCTTTATAGAATTCTCTTTCGCGGCATCGATCGATCTATGAGAGAAAAAAAAGAACGATACGTTTCTCTCGAAGCTCGCGTAACGCGTCTATCGCTTGTAACCTACTCTTGTAACAGAATCAACTCGCTCTTCGGGGTACTTTCTTCTACGCGTAGTCTCTCGACTCGGATCATTGTAACCTAGAACCGACCCTTTGCTCGGTTGCGTCGGGTTTAGCGTTGAACAAAAATGTCGGAGGCAGCAATTAGTTTTGCCCGGTTAAATTGTTCAATTTTTCTCCATAAATTCTTTCGCTCTGCAAATTATAAATAGCGATCTCGACGGCGTTCGATATCGAACGAAAAACCGGCAACGAAATTGTACGAACCGCGAGAGAATCGGAGTGAACAGCCACTGTCCCCCCGATGATCTCCCACAGTCTGTCGAGGAACGCGTAACAGCTTTTCAAAAAAAAAAAAAGAAGAAAGAGAGAGATTGGAGAGTACGGATCCGTAGAGATTCGTACGTACGAGTTTTGCCAGTGAACGAGTACGCGAGTTACAGAATCGACGCGACGCGAATGCGTCGAATGCTAAGAGAAACACGTGGTTCAAAAAGTATTCTATTAAACAGACTTCTCGACACAGTTTTCCCGTCGATGGAACACAAGTGGGTAAAATAGTCGGTACAAAGTGTTGCGAGACGAACGATTAGCTACGATCGGGCAGGATCTCGCGCGCGAGCTTTTGAAACGATATCGTGCTACCGCGGCTCGCCCATCGAGCTCGCCCTGCGACCATACGATGTAACGGAGAACGCGTCGAGAAACGTACGCGGATCGCGATCGCGAGGAATATATCGTGGCTCGCTTCGGGAAATGCGCTCCTCGAAGCCGTTCGAACACGCTGGCTAGGAATGTATATGAAAATAGAATTTCTCGCAATGGGGCGCGTTACGATGGACGCGTGTCGCATCAGGTGTCACCGGATGATCTCACGGCGGGAGAATGTTGCACGGTAAAACGGTGCGTGTCTCTGCTCCGACCGTAAGATCCGTTCGATCGAGAATTCCTGTATCGGCGTCGCGGGACGGTCGCGGCGACACGGCCACTTCGTTTTGAGCAATTGCCTCTCGATAAGGGAAAGAGAAAGATTGCGACGAACGCGGCTTCGCTCCGGGACACGGGGCGGGAGGAAAAGAACGCTGGTCGAGAGCGGAACGGCATTTTACGCAGCTATTCGCGCTCGCACGCGCAGCCTCGGTTTTGCACGCATACAGAGAGATCCTAGAGTGGTCGCGCGGTTGCGCGGTATTAAAGCATCGACGCGCGTCCGCAACGTACTCTCTATCAGTCGTGCGCAGCGATCGTTCTCTTTAGACTCGGCTGGATACGAAAACTATACTCGGGGCGAGCCGTTGCAGAATCGCGCGATGCTTTTCTACGGGGAGAACGATTTCTATCGGCGCTCTTCTCGCGTCCACGACTAGCCGAGGCGGAGAGCGAGCGCCCGGAAGGACAGAGAAACGGAGAGACGGAGAGGTAGATAGAGACGGATGGAGAGAAGAAAGGAGCTAGAGAGAAAGAAACGAGACGCCGGAGGAGACGAAGGGTCTCGCGGGGCTCTCGCGGTCGCGTCGATTCGATCAAGCGGAGACCGACTGGACGTCGCTCATCTTCTTGGTCAGTTCTTGCAGGAAGTCCCTGTAGATCAGCGAATCGATGTTCGAGGAAAGGACGTAGAGAATCCACCAATCGCCGAGCTCGATCTTCCTGCTGATGCTGTTGCAGGTCTCGATAGACAAGAGTCTCGTGGACAGATGGAGCAGACGAGGTCTGACGGCCGGCGCGAACACGATCGCCGCTCTGTACACCATCAGACCCAGCAGCATCGCCGAGAGGATCGTGAACCAGAACCAGATGAAGATGTAGGTCTTCTCGTTGACGATGTTCAGCGGTAGAATGCAGAGGGAGTCGTGCTTCTGTATCGTTCCCGTGGGACCGTACTTGTGGAAGATACACTTGGTCACCCGTGGGAACACGTAGACCATGGGGTCGACGCGTTCCTCCTGCGGAGCCTCGGAGAACTGCAACACCCGTAGCCCGTAGCTGAGGAACTCGCCGTCGAAGAACCGGTTCATCAGATACATCTGCAGGAAGATGTTCACCAGGCAGAGGGCCTCGCAGGCGAAGTACCGGTACGCGTACATGTTGTGGCTCTGAAAGAAGAAGCAGTCGCTGAATTGGCACGAATTGGTCTCAACGAAGGCAAATTGAATCTAAACCCGGTCGTCGCCTCGCCTCGCCTCGCCTCGCCTCGCATCTATCTCCCGGTAGATGCCGGACATTTTCCCTCGTTTCTTATTCGGCTCGGTCTTTGTCGCGCAGCTGCGCGTGCCGCCGAGTCTCTACGGGACTCTGACAGTGGAATCGACGACGACGACAACTTCCAACGTCGCTTTTTCTCGCACGGTTCGGCGTTCTACCGGTCGGCTCGCGCGATCGAACGGATTTCAGGAACGCGGTTATTTCGAAGTTACCTCGAAACCAGAAGTCTAGGAGTACGATGTTCGAATCAATTATATACAACGATGCGATCGCGCGCAAGTTCGACGAAAAATATATTTTGCAAGGAAACCGAACGGGCGAATTTTGATCGGTAAAAGCGCGAATTCGGAACGGAAACCCTGTATATGGACTATTCTCGGAAAAAGTTATCCAAGCCGCGGACTATTTCCGTCTCGACGAGTGCGAGACCGATGTTCGCTCTCTTTAGACTAAATATCGGACACGCGGTCATCACCGGACTAAATACAATTAGCGATAGGATAACGATTCGAGCGAACAGACAAACATTTGCGTTCTCGATGGTCGAATCTAGCTAAAGTAGACGAGAAAATCAACGAAGATCGTACCAAGATTATTCTGTACGAGTAGAATAGAACGCGGATGCTGCTATTTAGTAAAATTGGTACACCGTGAAACCGACGTTTACCGACATGGTAAAAATCGAGCGAAACGACCGAATCCGGTACAGATCGGATCGCGCGCATCCGTAGAACAGGACGACGAGGTATCGGTAAACGCTCGGTCACCGGTCGAGCGTGGCGCGTCGAGCGATCGTGGATTCAAAATTCAAGACGGATCGTACTTTGGACGCGTTTCGCATAGAACGGGCACGAGATCGTGTTTCCATCTTGCTCGCTCCCATAACCCGTCGATCACTTTCAATACGGCTAACCCTTGGCGTCGACGTAATTGGAACAATCTGCCGACCTATCAATTTTGATACACATCTGTCTACTCGTACGTAACCGGGCACGAGGTACGCGCAGTTGTTCGGCCGATCTTACACCGTCGATGCTGCAATTTTGCTGTAATTGGGAGCAACCGTATCGAATGCCCGTAACTCGTTTGCCCGACCGAGTATCAGATTCTGCGGACGAACGTCGACGAAATTCTACGATCAGCTGCGCGCCTCGACGTTCTCTTCTCTTTTCTTTCGCGTCGACGCGGCTACTTTGCGAACGATGCAACGTCCTACCCCTCTGTAAATGTTATTATCTTCGATCGCTATTTTTTACGATGCACGTTCGACGTTCGTGGCAACAACCGTGTACCGAACACAAACGGCGATACGATGCGAGAAGAAGCAGTTTTCTCGCGAAACGCGTAAAGTCAGAGGTTCGATTAGAATTTGTGCGCGACAACGTTTCTCTTACCTTTATGTGAGTCATCAGATAGTCCGTCAACACGGACTTTTTCTTCTGTATGTTCTCGTCTTGATCGAGGCCGTGATTCATGCCCATGACCAACGCGTTGATCAAACCGCCCTCCCACATGTTCCACAGCCATTGCGGCACGTAGCACATCACCGCCTGTTTAAGTGGACAGAGACACATGTTCGAATCGGTACGATCGTCGAAACTGTAGACAAATGCTGCGGATAATACTAGAGACGAAAATTAGAGGTTTTAGAACGATCAACGACTCCTCGACGGTTATTTCGATTTGGAACGATGCGCCGGCGGCAACGGAGATAAGAACAACGATCTCGAACGATGCCTAATCGTTTCTCGCGACTCTGGAAATTAGTACTTCGAACCGTGACGTTTCGCTGGAATCAAGATCCTTCGGGTTAAGCGACTTATCCGGTGAGTCAAAGTTTGCTCGATCGTTCTTACGATTAGAGTCGGTTCTCAAGAATGCACCGGACGTATCGTGCAATTAACTGCAACCGTAATCGTAACCGTGCAAAAAAGAACGAAAGCTGGAAGGTGAATATTCAAGGAGCATGAACTTGCGCTTATCTACGAGAATAAACAATTATCGCGTTGGAACGTAGCGAACGATATGATTTTGCTTGGCTGAAAATTAATATAATATAAATATAATAATAAAAGAGTACGAAGTATTACGAAGAGAATACAGCGGTAACTCTTTGTTTCTCGCTGATAAAAATTGATCATCCGGTGCCGGAGACCGCGACCCGGCCCGAGTCCGAGCGCCCGGAGACGGGCAAACCGCCGAACGCTGGCATTCGTAGGGCGGCTGCTGAACCGAGAAGCTTACAGTCTCTGTCAAAAGCAAGCGAACGCCGGAAACTCGGCTCGCAGGGACGTTAGAATTTCACCCGGCACTTTGTACTATTTTCAATGCAAAGACAATAATAAAATATTTTATCTACATTCGAATTTCTAGCAATTTCGACGTCGACCGACGCGCTTCGCAAATGTATACGCGTAACGAATACCCGCAGCTATTTTATACGAAATAAAAGACTGGATTCTACGAACAATTTCTGCTAATAAAATTGTACAAAAGAAAGGAACGGGATCCTGATTTACGAGCGACCCGGGCAAGGGATTTAGATTATCCGGAAGAAGATGGATGGTTCTAACAGCGGCTGTACAGATTACCGAGACCGAGTACGGTGGTCGCGTCATCCGTGGTGGTAAAATCGCTCCTCGGATCGAGTCTCGGTCTCGGTCTCGGTCTCGGGTATTCGATACGAAAGGCGAGAATGGGCAGCGGGCGAAACAAAGCCTAAAGTAAAAGCGCAGCTGTCGCCCCCGGTTTATCTGTCGCGCGTGCAAGATTACAGATATACCGAGCTCTCTCCTTACCTGGAAGAACAACACGAAGCACACCCATTGGTAGTACGTGTAGTATTTCCTGGCGTCGACGTCGCCGAAATCGTTCGCCACCCCTGGATGCGCCACCTCCAGGCCAACCTACGACAAATCGGTTCAACGATTAATCGCGAAACGGTTGCGAAAACCAAGAGAGACCTTTTTAAACGAGAGGTCTCGGCTGTGATTCTTAAATCGAGCGAATTCGAAAGCATATACGTTGTCCCGCTGCGCGTGTATCTACGAACAAAATTCTCGTTCCCGAGTAATCGTGTTTTCGTCGCGCGAACATTATGCAAGGAATATTATTCGAATAAACAATTCCCGTTCGTACGTAACGAACGGATATTTTTAAATATTCTCGCGCATAAAATGTCGAGGGATCGAATACACGGTGACGTACTTTGGTATTCGAATTACATTTTTCCTTTCTTTTTTAATGCCGGTTTCAAACGTTTACGCGTCGTCAAAAATGGCCTTGGAAGAACTTCTCTTTTTTCCAGCACCCCTTAAAATAGTGCGACTTTGTTCCGAGGAGTTTTTCATATAACCATAAATAGCGGAGATATTTTCATCTTAAGTGATTCACTTTGTGTACGCGGCGGTTCTAAACCCTATTAGAATTTTCATTTTAATGTCCCCCTCGCGAGTTGTGCAGGAGGCTATAAATGCGTTCGCATCCACGGACCGGCGCGATCTCCGGTGTACATCTCGATGAAACGATTTATCGTCGCTCGGACATTTCGGATCGCCGTGCAAGAATCGTTCATAGACACCGAGACAGAAATAATAACTTTCGCAAAGTACACGAGAGAACGTCTCCGTGTTCGCTCGATGCTATTTAACGGGGTATTGTAATTTGGCCGGACGACGCTTCGTTGAAACGGGAGACGCACCGATGCGAGATAAGATGCGTTCAAAAATTCACTTTCTAATCGTGTCATGGGCACATCGCGGATATACAAACATCGAGGTATGACATCATTTTCTACAAAACGATGTCATACCCAAATAATCTGTTCGATGCTAATCGTATTCAAATACGGCATCGAAAATAACATCGAAGCCAAACGGTCGGAATATAATTTCTTTTTTTCCTTTTTTTCATCGCGTTACGTAATGTTTTAGCATTCGTATACGAAGACGAAACTGTCGCCACGAGTTGCACGGTAAGATGCGCTAAATTCGCCGCGGGTAGTCGATAGGATCGTCCCCGGTCGTTAGGATATATTTTATCTGTAAAATCTGAATCGAACGTTTTAGATTATTGTATTTATCGTACGCCGTCCTACGTACGCATACAGCGAACAGCTTGTCGGCTGTGCTATCGACGGAAGCTGGATTTCGAGGTATCGCATCTTCTTCGATTTCGCGGATATTCGTTCTTTGGGAAAATATATTTTCCCTTGGATAAATTTATTCAGCCGATGTTTGCAAAAGCGGCGCGAGATGGCCTCGTTTATAGGCCTCGATCATGGTCCGTAACACAAAGCGGGGATGCGAACGCCTAATGTAATCTTATTCCTCGAGATACCGAGGAGCCGATTGGAAGCAAATTTCTCCGATCCGACAAGCCCGGCTCGTTCTTCGTTTCTTACAGTTTACCGCTAAAGAATATACAAAAATAACAACGTGGAAACAATAGCTAAAATGTTCCGTCGTGTCGCAAAGGTTCTACGACGCTTCTGCGACGAATCCGCTCCTAATCGAGTTCTTTAAAATCGAACCGATAAAATCTGGCTAAAATAACAACGCATCGAGAGCGCGGCACTGCGTTGTCGCGTATGCCGATGGAAAAATAAACGAGCGCGAACTCGGTATCTGCAACGAAACACGTAATCGTGGTGCAAATTTTTCAACGATGACGCGCGCGCGCGCGATGCTTCGAAAGTTGGCGTGGAAAATGTTGAAATTGATTCGTCGAGATTTTCAAATTATTTAAAACCGATTATTTTTTAAACTCTATATTATACAGATATTAAACTCTACGAATCGGTTGGCGAAGCTCAACGTCGATCGGTAGTCGAGCTGTAACCGCTACGTATCCGAATTGTATCGTATCGTTGACCTCGGGTCGTAGAAATCAGGTTTCACAAGCAGCGTTATCGTCGAGATTAATTTCGGCTGGAAAAATCCATCGTTTAATTATCTCGAACAGCCCCTTCCGAAAAGTAGGAGCTTCGGCTCGATTTAGGAGCAACGTGGTCGTGGAAACCGGAAAAGGGTCGGGCACTGGATTTAATTTCGATAATATCGACGGATAAAAAGTGTCCCGGACACGTATAGATTTATACGTATACGGGGGACACGGACGATTCCAAGAACCAAATCTTTTAGTCCCTGCTGATATTTTCTAAGAAATCGTTCGATAGCGGTAGCAATTTAAACGACGGGTCACCCCCTGCAACGCTATCTATCAATTTCTTCCAGAACTATTACTTGAGAGAACATTTTTAACCTCTGTTTCGATACGGTAGAATCGTGGACGTACCCTATCGACAGGGTTTCAGATTTTTCGACGTGAAAACGTCCCAGATAGCTCGAATCTATCGGGTCGCGTGCTGCGAGTACGAATTTTCGATAACGACGAATCGAATAAACCGGATTGGCCGTTGTTCGCGTGTCGCAGGATCGTGGAGATCGCCGCGTCGCGTCGCGTCTCGTCTCGTCGCGCACGTGCGCGCGTGCCATGGACATCGAAACGGGCGAAATAGCGAAACCGGGCGAGATTCGGCTCGAATCGATGCACGGACACTCTGAACACGAAAGTTAGATTCGATCGGCTCGGAGCAGACGCGGCTCGCGCGGCCTCGCGGCCTCGCGACGTCGTCAACAGGTGGCACGAAATACGGCGGGGACGCGACGATCCGGTCCGTAATAAACTAAATTTGAAATTACAATCGATTACCCACCTGTCGATTGAACGCGTCCGGCATGGTGAACGTGGACGTGATCCAGCAGTAAGTGTTGATAGGGTGCGTGGGCAAGCCCTGAACGATACAGTTGATCGGATTACCAACGTATTGGGTGGCGGTGATCACCATCGAACACGTGAAAAGCAGCACCGCGGTGAAATGGTTGTGCAACCGAAACACCATCGAATCGGTCGTGATCTCCTGCCATTTCAGGTACTGTCCGAGATCCCCTAGTAGCTTGTACATGTCGACGATGCTGTCGTTGGTTCGGCGCGCGCGACCAGCACGGTGGCGTATACAACCTTTGTCGTCGTCGTCCGACTCGAGATCGAGGGAAAGTTCGTCGCGTTTGTCGTTCGCGTTTCCGGTCGCGAACGACGATCACCTGTGCGCCGCGCTATCACCGACTCGTTATCACGGGTACAACGACGGGGAACCGTTCGAGAAACAGCGGCAACTTCCGCAGGACCTCATCTACCCGCGGCCGCCACGAAAAGCGGTAAAACGAAATGAAACGAAACGATACGGATACACGGACCGTACGGCTGTGTCCACGTCCACGCGGCGTTGCCTTCCTCTTTTCCTTTTCTCCAGTTTCTCCTTCTCCTTCGGCCTTTCGTCCTTCTTCCTTCTTTCTCCTTTCTTCTGGCCGACTACCCGCTCCTCCTTTTCCTCCTGCTCCTCCTCCTCCTTCTCCTCTTTCTTGCGCGGGTCACAGTTACACGGAGGCTCTTGTTCCTTCTTCGAAAGGTGGTCGCTCGGTCTCGCTCGCACGGCGCGCGCTCCGCAGATCGGTCACCGAACCACGTTCTCGACGAGATCTTTCTAGTTTAGTTTGTAGCCAGCGAGGAATTGAACGCAGCCAACGGTCGTCGACAAAACACACGTATCGTATCACGACATCTTTTCTCCTTTCACGTACACCCTCCCTCTCTCTCTCTCTCTCTCTCTCTCTCTCTCTCTTTCTCGCTCGCTCGCTCCCTCTCTCTCTCTCTCTCTCTCTCTCTCTCTCTCTCTCTCTCTCCCTCTTCCTCTCTCGGACGATCGATCGTGCACTTTCGGACGCGTAAACAAATGCCGGTCCACCTGGCGGTACTACAGTGTGTCCTCTTTCTACGCGTGACCTCTACCCGCGAATAGCTACATGCGATTCGTTTGTTTTCCCTCTCGATTTTCCAAACAGACACCGGTGCGTCGTCCTCGTTGTCGTGCCGAGCGGTGATCGCTTCGTGTCAGAGACAGGGCACTCACTGTCAATCCTTCGATCGCAGGGAAACTCGGGCCTGACGCGAAATTGTGTAACAACCTTCTCTCTTCTCTTCTCTTCTCTCCCTGGTCCGTGTCTCTCGGTGGCGTTGTCGCCTCTCTCCCTCTTTCTTCCTCTTTCTCCTCTCCTTCTACCACTACTTCCTCCTCCTCCTCCTCCTCCTTCTCCTCCTCCTCCNCTGATATTTTCTAAGAAATCGTTCGATAGCGGTAGCAATTTAAACGACGGGTCACCCCCTGCAACGCTATCTATCAATTTCTTCCAGAACTATTACTTGAGAGAACATTTTTAACCTCTGTTTCGATACGGTAGAATCGTGGACGTACCCTATCGACAGGGTTTCAGATTTTTCGACGTGAAAACGTCCCAGATAGCTCGAATCTATCGGGTCGCGTGCTGCGAGTACGAATTTTCGATAACGACGAATCGAATAAACCGGATTGGCCGTTGTTCGCGTGTCGCAGGATCGTGGAGATCGCCGCGTCGCGTCGCGTCTCGTCTCGTCGCGCACGTGCGCGCGTGCCATGGACATCGAAACGGGCGAAATAGCGAAACCGGGCGAGATTCGGCTCGAATCGATGCACGGACACTCTGAACACGAAAGTTAGATTCGATCGGCTCGGAGCAGACGCGGCTCGCGCGGCCTCGCGGCCTCGCGACGTCGTCAACAGGTGGCACGAAATACGGCGGGGACGCGACGATCCGGTCCGTAATAAACTAAATTTGAAATTACAATCGATTACCCACCTGTCGATTGAACGCGTCCGGCATGGTGAACGTGGACGTGATCCAGCAGTAAGTGTTGATAGGGTGCGTGGGCAAGCCCTGAACGATACAGTTGATCGGATTACCAACGTATTGGGTGGCGGTGATCACCATCGAACACGTGAAAAGCAGCACCGCGGTGAAATGGTTGTGCAACCGAAACACCATCGAATCGGTCGTGATCTCCTGCCATTTCAGGTACTGTCCGAGATCCCCTAGTAGCTTGTACATGTCGACGATGCTGTCGTTGGTTCGGCGCGCGCGACCAGCACGGTGGCGTATACAACCTTTGTCGTCGTCGTCCGACTCGAGATCGAGGGAAAGTTCGTCGCGTTTGTCGTTCGCGTTTCCGGTCGCGAACGACGATCACCTGTGCGCCGCGCTATCACCGACTCGTTATCACGGGTACAACGACGGGGAACCGTTCGAGAAACAGCGGCAACTTCCGCAGGACCTCATCTACCCGCGGCCGCCACGAAAAGCGGTAAAACGAAATGAAACGAAACGATACGGATACACGGACCGTACGGCTGTGTCCACGTCCACGCGGCGTTGCCTTCCTCTTTTCCTTTTCTCCAGTTTCTCCTTCTCCTTCGGCCTTTCGTCCTTCTTCCTTCTTTCTCCTTTCTTCTGGCCGACTACCCGCTCCTCCTTTTCCTCCTGCTCCTCCTCCTCCTTCTCCTCTTTCTTGCGCGGGTCACAGTTACACGGAGGCTCTTGTTCCTTCTTCGAAAGGTGGTCGCTCGGTCTCGCTCGCACGGCGCGCGCTCCGCAGATCGGTCACCGAACCACGTTCTCGACGAGATCTTTCTAGTTTAGTTTGTAGCCAGCGAGGAATTGAACGCAGCCAACGGTCGTCGACAAAACACACGTATCGTATCACGACATCTTTTCTCCTTTCACGTACACCCTCCCTCTCTCTCTCTCTCTCTCTCTCTCTCTCTCTCTTTCTCGCTCGCTCGCTCCCTCTCTCTCTCTCTCTCTCTCTCTCTCTCTCTCTCTCTCTCTCTCCCTCTTCCTCTCTCGGACGATCGATCGTGCACTTTCGGACGCGTAAACAAATGCCGGTCCACCTGGCGGTACTACAGTGTGTCCTCTTTCTACGCGTGACCTCTACCCGCGAATAGCTACATGCGATTCGTTTGTTTTCCCTCTCGATTTTCCAAACAGACACCGGTGCGTCGTCCTCGTTGTCGTGCCGAGCGGTGATCGCTTCGTGTCAGAGACAGGGCACTCACTGTCAATCCTTCGATCGCAGGGAAACTCGGGCCTGACGCGAAATTGTGTAACAACCTTCTCTCTTCTCTTCTCTTCTCTCCCTGGTCCGTGTCTCTCGGTGGCGTTGTCGCCTCTCTCCCTCTTTCTTCCTCTTTCTCCTCTCCTTCTACCACTACTTCCTCCTCCTCCTCCTCCTCCTTCTCCTCCTCCTCCTCTTCTTCTTCTTCTTCTACCTTCCTCGTCTCTCTGCTCGGCCGGTTTCACCCTGTCTTTCAGTCGGCGCGGCACTTTTTTCTCGGCCCGTTCCCTGGGTGTATCCGCGCAGGTAGAGATCGGCAGCGAACGAGTACGATTTACGAATCCTGTGTCGGCAATATACACCTATGTAGTACGTGCGTAGCAGTCTCTTCAACGTCGACTGACGAGAAGTCAGTGGCTTGTTGTTCAGTCGGGGGGCGAGAGGGAAACTCTTTCGATGTGCTAGGGGGACTGCTGTGGAGTAGAAACGAGTAGGAGAGGGCCCCGGGAGGTGGGGATCGAAACGGTGGGGGTCCGACAGTCCGACGGCTGCTTCAAACTCCCCCCTAAACTCGAGCCCGCATTGTACACGCTATGGCTATACCCTGCTCTGCTCTGCTCCGCTCCGCCGCCATAGTGCATGCTCCTGCCGCCTGCCGCTAGCCGCCAACCGATCCGCTCCGGCTACCGTGCATACTAGCTGCCGACCGCGCTCGTTGTCGGCTCGATCTACCTCTGGCTGTTATTTTTTCGTTTTCCTTTTCGTTTTCGAAAATATAACCCGAATCTCAGGATCTAACGCACCAGTCGATCTCTGTTCGCTCTTTCAAAGTTTATTACTCACGATTAGAATAAGCGGTAGAATTTATGGTCGATGCTAACGATCGAACGGTAAGCTAGCCATTTTCGACGATGAGTAACGTTCGAGGCGAGTCCCTGTTGCAAGTTAACATCTCCGTCCGGAGATATCCGATCCGACATCTTTTTTGTTTTAAACTTTTTAAGATTGCAGGGATTCTTTCGCAGAAAACGATCGAATATTTAACATGTGAAACCAAATAAATTCGGTCTTGTTATTTTTACAAGGAAACTTTTATCCAGCCTTTTGCAGCCGTTCGGCAAGTTTAGTATTAACAGCGTGAAACGTCGTTCGAAACGTTTGTCCTGAAATGGTATTCCGAACGATAAAACGTTCGTGTATTTGGGTTAAGGCGAGACGCGGAGATAATCGAAGGAGTCGAAGAAATTTCGTATCCGCAATATTTTGCGGCGCATCGGTGAAAATCGTGTATCGTATGGTATCGGTGACTCGACGGTGGCACGAACAAAAATAATTTCTTCGTAACGGTATCGTTTAGTTGCTCGCTCGATGCGGTCGATGCGACGAATCTTCCGCGTCGATTCGGCTTCCGTGAAACGTGGTTCGAAAAAGTTTATCAGGATTCCGCGATGCGCTTGGAACTTCGATGCACGCACCTGCGGTAGAAATAGTTTCGTCTGCCGCCGGCATTTCCGCTTTAGCCGCGACTGTGAACGCGAACGCGACACCACCGTGGCGTGCCACCCGGCAAACTGTACATACAAACTTGGTCGAGGTACACGCGTACATCGAAGATGAACAAATTGAATATCGGAATTATGAAATTACGTGGAATTACGCGAAACGTAATACGGTCGAAGGAGTATAAAAGTATGTAATTTCTTTCGGTTGGTATATTCGAAAATCGTTAACATCGCAGGCATTCCACACCGTTGCTTCCCCCCTTCCTCCTCGTTATCTTCCTTTCCGCCCCACCCTGCGACGTCGGTAACGTCGCAATGAAAGTAAATCGCTCTAATTCGATCGTTCTATTCAATTGAACCCTGCAGTCGCCTCGAGAATAATACGTAGAACCTCGGTGCTCTCGGTATCACCGTGGAAAATGCAACGGTTTCTCGAATTTGTACGCGCCGTTGTACGTTCGGCAAAGAAATAGAATTCTTTCGATTTTATCCGCATCAGAAATAATATCTTTCTTCCCTTTAATATCTTCGAAGCATCGAAATTATTAATCGTCGATTATCGTTTTAATCGTCGCACCGTTAATTGTTTCGTCCGCTCGGTTCGCTCGCAAATGAATAAAATTGCTAGAAAATATGCAACGATTACAATAATTACAAAATTATATTTGGAAGACTGTGCAGCCTCTGAGAGCTGCAGTCTGCACAGGGTTAATCGATACCAACAATTTCGTGGTATTCAGCCTCCTCTTGTCTCGCGCGATCCTTTATTCCATTTTACGAAGGGTGACGGTCGGCGTCCGTGTACGCGACCAGATGCAGGAAAGCACGATGCACGATGCAGGGGGTGCACGGGGTTCTGAAAGAACCGCGTCTCGCCCCACTAACCGGAAATACCGGTGACCCTCGTCCTACCGGATTCGTTCGGGATATTGGAATTCGAACGCGTTTCGAGCCCGCAATATGTACGATCGGTTAGTTTCAACGTTTAACGCTGTCCGGTCGAATCACCGATTTCACCAAATTGCAAACCGGTTAAATCATTCGAATCGTTTCAAAGTATCGTCGAAGTAATTATCGTCGGCTAATTAAAAAACGATTAAGACACGAAATAAACGTCTACGGAGCGCCCGTATCTTCTTGCAACTCTTGCAACCTACGAATCTTCGTCCTCGTTAACGACCTCGAACAGCAATTATCGTTGTAAAAATCGAAATTCTCGAATCGGTTTTCACTTTTTACGGGAATTTTGGAGGCTCGAGGCTACAAGTGCGCGGGGCACGGCCCGGTAGCGCGGCTTAAAAATAAAAGCGAGCAACGGCAGCGCGCGTCTACAAATATTTACACTCGCGTAAAATCGACGGTGACACATGTCACGCATATGTTTACGAGATCGCGGAGGATAGTCTCCCGGAGCCCGGAGACGAGACGGGACGAGCCGAGGAAGTTCCGGTTACCGTTAACGACCGCCGACGAAACTGCCGAGCCGCGCCTTGCACCGGCTGTTCAAATAATATTCCACGAACGAAAATCGAGCTGGTGGTGACACGCGAACGTCCAACGTTCTATGCCGTATCAATGGCAATCAACGACGGCGGCGATTGCTCGCCTCCGTGCGCGCCGCGGTCTTCGTCGCGCGAACCGCGAACCGCGAACCGCGAATTCGCGATAAACGGAGTCCGCGTTCGTCTTTGATCCTTCGCGCTCGGGGTATTTTTTCGCCTCGTCCATTTTACGTCGAGAAGCGAGGCGAAACGTTTTTACGGTCGAAAATTTCACTGGAATTTCGATGAAAAACAATCTCGTCGAAGATCAGTCTCCACCCGCGAGTCGTTCGCGAAAAATAAGAGACGTTGCAAATTGAACGATTCGTTAAAAAAAAATAGAAAGCTTTATCGGTCCAATTATTGCGATAATTCCATCGACTTTGTTTCTACGGTCGTAAGAATATTCTTCTCCTCGATCCCGTTCATATTTCTCGTATTTCTGTAACCTCGACGCGGCTCGTTTTATTGGCATTTCAATTCCTGTTCGAGTCTCTCCACTCGAAAGGCCGTCCAGCAATTAACGCGGTAGCAACATTTTCTTTTTCTTTTCGCGGCGATTCGACATCCTTGGTCCACTTACCTCGTTCAACCGCCTGAAATGTAGAAACAAAGTAATCGACGATGCGATTCTTCGCGATAATCGTTAACGAACGCCGAGCATCGAATAAGAACAACGAAATATTTCGATCTCGTTGCTTTCCCGCTTGAAACGCGTTAAAAGTTTCAGCGTTCGAAAACGATCGATATTTCCTTGGAAAATAAACGAAAGAGGAAGAAGAAGCAATTTGTTGTTAAGAGATCGACGAGTACAATAACCGGCTTCGGGTTGCTAATCGTCGATTCCGAGAAGCTTGTTCAATGGCGCGCGATGGGCCGTGCGTTCGCGGAGACATTTCCAGGAGCGTGCTGGAAATCGAGCGCGATCGTTCGCAAAGCGAGACACGAGGCTGAAATTGAGAGAACGGAGCTGCGAGGAACAGCATCCCTTAGCTCGGCGATTTCAAGGTTCTCGCTCGCTCGGAACAGCTTTCTCTCGTATCCTTGACTTTTTAACCGCGCGTTGCACTTGCTTCGCCCATCCTTGCTTCGTTTATTTTCTTCGATCGGCATCGACTCGTTCGGCGTCGTTCGATTCCTGGTTTCTCGTCGTCAGATATATAGCACGGTTCTGCCAAAATTGTGCCGCGTAAGCGGCGTACAACTCGCGAAAAGAGGAGGGCGAACGTTGGAATTCCGAACTACGATCGTGCAGAGACTCCGCGTTCCAAGTTTCATCGGGAATATTCGATATTTATTCGAAGTCCGACGATAGAAAAGGTTGCATCGCGGTTCAGATCCGATTCGACAACCTCCTCCTTTCGATCGTTTTGAAACCGCTAACCTCGACGCGTAGGTCGAACTTGTTTTTTGGCCTTTGGTTGCTAAAATAAACGAGAAAGTGTCGAAACTGTAATCAGCTTGCGCACAGTACGCAGAGATATGCTAAAAACTATCCATGTTGCGACAACGTTGTCCGCGTTCACGGAATTCGTACCGAACGTCTGAAATTCCTCCGAAATCGCAGACGCGACACGTTTCCCAAAGATCCCGCTCGAAATAGCTGAACGATTCGACTTTGTATCGCGACGACGACAGTTTCTCGGTTCTTTTCGCAAGGGGTTCGAAATCGCTTCGTACGACATAATTCGATCGAAGCGCGGATCATTTTCTGGCCGATCGCCGATCGCGTTTCGAGACGACGCGGGAGCGCGCGCGCGCGCAGTCTCCGCCACCGCCTTCGTCGTCCGCGGTCTCGTTTTCAGTGCAACCAGTGGCTGGTCCAAATGTGCAACGTGATGTAACCCAAGCTTTTGTACAGACGCACCGCAACACGATACCGCGCGCGGCGTTGCCCGGTCCGGCCCGGCCCGGCCCGGACATCTCGGTTTCTAGAGTAACGACTCCGCTCCTCCTCCTGGAGAACCAGGTCCCCGTCCTCGGGCAACTGCATAAAAATTCGGACCGCCGACGCACGCCACTCGTGTGGTTTCGTTTCATTTCACAGCGGCGACGTCGACGGCGACGGCGACGGCGACGACGGCGCCTCCGTTTCTGTCTGTCTCGGTTTGGAATCGCCTCTATCTTATCGCGCCGAGCAAAAAGTGACCTCCCGGCGAACCACTTATTGAATAATATCACCCCGTGTTACCGGAGTATCGCGGTCAAGGCATCGGCTTGCCTCCAAGAACGATACGAGACCCTTCGGGAGACTCGGCTTATTATCCGCTTCGAACCGTTACCGTTTCTACCGGTTTCGCCGCTTTACGATCGATCGCCGAAGCTTCTCGAGAAGCGTAAATCGTTTTCGAGAAAATTCAAAGTTCGAATTCGAGTCGCTTCGTTCGGTTTTGTAAAACTTGTTCCGTTCTAAACGATCATAATTTCGCGCGTTTGGAAACGAAAGGCAACGAAACCGCGAGTGGAAAGAGCATCGTCCCATGCGCAGTTCGTCGTTGGGAAATCGCACCGCCATTTTGCCGCAGTAAGACAGACTTCGTTCGCGGTCCAATCTCCGATCAGCAATTTCATCCCTAAAAACTGATTACCATTTATGATCGAGAAGGAAACGTACCGCGTTACCATTGTATCACCATTGCAATGCTTCGAAAGCTTACAAAGATAAAATATGTCTATTTCGTTGCTTAAAAAAACGCGCTTGTTCTCCTTGCCAACGATAAATCTCTGTACCCATAAACGCTCTCGACACGTGACTTATGCTACTCGTTCTTCGTGCTTCGATCTTCGTTCCGCGTTCTGCATTCTGCATTCTGCAGACGCGCGTAACACGTGTCAAGACGTATGGGATACCGACGACGATAACGTAAGATTCTTCCTCGACGCAGCTAGAATCGCCTCGTTTAAAGGCAACGCGAAGTTTACCGAACTAGTCGTTTAAATAACCGGTGCGCAAAGTCTGTAAATTACAAGAATATAATGTAGAATCGACGGTATCGCGCTTTCAATCTTGCCGAAAGGAGCTTCCCAGTTGGCGAAGCAAATTGTTCCGGCGTTCCGATTTTCACAAAGTAGCTCCGAAACCGGATATCGTGAAGTATAATTTTACTATTTACGATACGAGGTAAGTTGTAAACTACGCGTTCACGGTGGAACAACGGAAACAAGATACTTTCGCCACGTTGTGGCTAACGATGCAACGAGACCAAGAAAGATTGGCAAATAGACCGCGGATCTTTGCGCGAAATAAAAATTGCCCGGATCCGTTGCAAGAGACTATGAGAAAGGCGATATCGAGTCGGCCGAGGAAATCGGCCCTTCGGAGGGCTCGTCGCGTTCTTAGGACGCTCCGTGCCGTATAATGTATACACATTATAGCGTACAGGGTATACGTTGCGTACAGCGTATACGGTATTCCGAATTTGCAGAGCCGGTGACCGCAGCAGCGGCGGAGATAATACTCGTTCCCCA